CGAGCCTGAGAGAGTGGCGCTGGCTGGCCCTGGGTGCTGCGCGGCCCGTTCGTCTTCTCCCGGCCTTTAGAGGGCCGCGCGTTTGCACCGTGTCTGTGCGGAAGCCTCAGCGCTGGCCTGGCCCCGGGCCCCTTTGCGCTGGTGGGGGAAAGCAGTGGGTTTAGGAACAACCATTTTTGTTTGGTGTTTGCACCTTCCCTCCTCTTCCCCAGGTACTGGGCCAACTTGAAGCTCTGGTTCAAGCAAAAGATCAGTAAGGAGGAGTTTGACCTGGAAGCACGCAGGCTTCTCACGCAAGACAATGGTAAAAAGCCATCTTGTGTTTGTTCTCCTGCTGGCTCTAACGCTGCTTTGCCCCTGCCAGGCCTGGGGGGAGCTCCTCCCTGCTGCACGGTGCTTCCCGAACAGGGAAACGGCTGTGAGGGAAATAAGAATGGCAAGGACTCCGGTAGCAACAGAATTAAAAAGGTGGGAGGTGCCCTGGCCTGCAGGGGGAAGTGATTTTGTGGCTCTGGCACTGACAGGCAATTTGGCCTTGTGTTAATACGGTAAAAAGATAACATATGCTGTCCCGGCAACCAAAAAGCCATTTTTTTATGTCACCATAGAGACCCATTGCTTTCCATACTGCATTCTCCCTTTGGCTGGGACTGAACTGGTGATGTGGCTGAAGTGGGCGAGGCAACCCCTGAATTCACCTGGGTGGTTTTGCAGCAGGCAGATCCCCTTCCTGGCCTTTGGGGGTGGCAGGTTGGAGTGCTGAAGGGTGACGTTCACTTGTTCCTGCCTCTGTGTGGGTCTGCAAACTTTGGCGGGCATTGCTGAGAGTGTTGTGGGGCCTCCTGACTTCCACATTCATGATCCCTGTGGGGAAGGGTGGGAAGTTTGTTGGTGCTCAGGCTCAAAGACCAAAGAGGATCCTGTAACCCTCTGACCCTGGCTAAAGAAGCTCATCTTTGCTCTTTCTAATGTATAGTTATTCACTCTGTGTTTCAGTAACCCTTCTACGAGGAAGTTGCATTTTTTTGTAGAACCCGTTTGACTTAACTTCACCTTTCTGGGGCTGGCTCTTACTGGTCCTTTCTAGAAAAACCAAAAGCCCTGCTACCAGAAGTCTCTGTGGCCGGAGGGACAGCTGATCCTCTTCTGACTGGCTGAATACACCAGATGTTTCATGTTGCGTGCTGTAGGGCTGGATTTGCCTGTGTGTCATTCTAAGTAGTGGCCTAGTGAAGTGACAAGTGAACTTGTTTCTATGCCATGTGTAGCATCCTTTTTGCTACTGTGATAGCAGCGGATTCTGGGTCCAGTAGAAGAAAACTCAAAAAATCTGAAAGTTGTGCCTATGTATCTAAGCATGTGGGGAAAACGGGACTGTGGAAAGGCATAGTGAGCTACTTTAAGATTGCTTTGAGGGGATGCCTCTGGGTACTGACGTGTTGCTAATGAACTGTCTGTCTTTATGCAGTCCACTCTCACAATGATTTCCTCCTGGCTATTCTTACCCGATGCCAGATCCTGGTTTCTGCACCAGGTAAGTCCCGAGAAGCCTCATTCAAACCAATCGGCTGGTAATGCTTTGCCACGTGTGTGTTTGGCGGGTTTTGTACAAGGCGATCCGACTTTCTGAGCCTTAATATTCATGTTCTTTTTGCCACACAGGTAAAAGGGTAGCAAAGTAGTAGTGATCCAGCTGATTTCAGCTTTTATAAATAAGCTGCATTTGCTTGATTAGAGGCTAACGCTGGATTGCTGTGTGCGATAAGCTGGTTCAATTTCTGGATTGGGTGTGTGCTGTGAGCTGAAATGCAATGGGAGATGCTGCTTTGTCTTTGATCTGCTTTGCTTACCGCTTGTCTCCTGAACTTTGTGATGCTCTTTGTTCTTATCTCTGCTGGGGGTATCATTTTGGGTAGCTGGATTTTCCTGACTGATCTTGACATCAAGTACATATCTGATAGAGAAATGCTTACTGGGAATGCTTGCAGTGAGTCTTGGTTGAGCTATGGCCAATGAACCCAACCTTCTGCAGATAGTTAACCTTTTAACTTCATAAGTATTTGGAATGGCTGTTGTCAGGGTTGCAAGATATGTTTTGTTTGGTCTTCAGAAGAACTCTCAATCCAGAGATCTGACAGGAAGGACAATTGAGCTGCAATTCAAGATATGAAACTGCTGTGTAGTAAGGGAGAGAAAATGTAGCTCTGATGGGCTGAGACCTGACAGATGAGGTTTTTTAAAGGAGAGAATACCTGTTATTAGGGTATTGTAGCTAGAGGAAGGAAAAAACGCAAAATTTATGGATATCCACAGCTATTTGTGTTGGAGCTGGTCCTTAGCTATACCAGCTGTGCTAATTAAATGCTAACCTCCCCACCTCCAAACATGCTTTTTTTGCTCTCAAACTTTACAAACACATTTTGAGTCCCAGGCTTGCCCTCTTTTTCACGGTCTGCACTCATGTAATTCAGAAGTTTTATGTCTAAATCTTGCTGCTCCTTGCTTTTGACTTGGAGTACTTACAGCTGGATTATAAAAAGAAGGTGCAAGAACAAGTGATTCCCTTTGTTCCCCCGGAAGTAGCCGAGTCTAAAAAAGGAGGAGGAGGGAGAGAGCGAGCACCTGCATTCTTCCGTGCTCAGCACTGAGCTGATTTGAATGTTGGAGTAGAGATCATAGCTCAGAGGTCTTGCTTCTGAGTGGCAGTAGTCAGGCTAGAGCCCATTGCTGTGTGACTAAAGTTGGGGTGGTTTATTCCTGTGTGCACCACTCTGTGCTTAACCATATTGAATTTCATTTGTCTCTCTATCCGCTTAGTCTCGTGCAGCTCTTCTGCAGCCGTCTGGTCAGGCTTCATCTTCCCTGGCTCGAATAGCTCAGATTTGTCAGAAAACCAGCAGCTCCCCAATACCCCTTTTTTCAAGGCTGTCTAGGAATGTGTTAAAGGTACGAGCCCCAGCACAAAGCAGCGTGGTGCTCCACAGATGCCTTCTGTAGGCTCGTTATTTCCTGCCTGACTTCTTTTAATTTCAAGTCCTTGCAAGGACTTTTCCTCTTGTCACATTGAAGCTTACTCTCTTCAAGAGCCCTTGAAGAACTCTTTGTAGTGCTTCGGCAGATGGGTGACAGCATGTAACAGAGTGCTAGCTGACTGGTTACCTTACCAAGTGCTGGCCAGCTGGTCACCTCCAGTGCTTTCAGGCAGGCTTTTGTTCGTTCTACATCCGCAGATCTGCATAAGCCAGCTTGAAAAAAATCAGTTTAATCATGCTTGTGTTCTTAAAGACATGGTTTAGTGCTCTGCAGTTAACAGTACCTACTGCTAGTCCCTTCTAGAGTCTCTCTTTTGCTCTCCACAGATCAATGCAGAGTCTCCCAATGATTTTGGAGCTAATCTGCACTGAGATACCTCTTTCTGGGCTGCTGACTGATAGATCTATTACACATGCTCTTTACTTGCCAGTCTGCTGTGGGTGGCGTAGTGGATTGTACATGCAAGCCCAGGAAAGTGCAGGGATACTAGATGGTTTGTCTAGATTTCTTTTTCTCCCCCTAGATGCCAGTCTGACATCTGCTGGGTTTTTGTTGCTTGTTTTCTTTTTTTTTTTTTTTTCTTTTTTTCCCCATGTAAGAGTGGAAAGCTAACAGGCTTTTGTCTCCACCCCTGCCTTTTGGGTAGAAGGTGTTTACGTCATGATTCACGGAAACGAGTAACTTTAAAGAAGTGTGATTGATGCACTTGGCATGCCATTGCAAGGATTATTGATGCATGTACTTTCCACCTTCATGTGAGAGACAAGGGGGAAAGAACCATCTTTAAAATGCCAGTCTGCATTTAAAAAAAATTGTGTGGTCAGCGTTACAAGCATACTTGATATCGTGGCATTTGGAATAGGAAACCTTGGAGAAGGTGTTTTTAAGGAGTGATTGTAACTCATCTTGAACCATGGAAACAAATCCATTGGGTCCAAATTTTGCTGCCTCTGGTAGTAGTGGTTGCACCTGGGCTTATAAGGGAAGACTGGGTGAATGTGACCCTTTGTGAGAACGCTTTCTATTTCCATCTGTCATCTGCTCAGGCTTTTGGTCATGCAAACTTCAAATCCCAGTTCAACAGTCCTGTGTGGCATGGGATATTTAGGACTTCATGGAGGGAGAGGAAGGTTCATGTCTCTTCTGATGTGACAAATGACCAGGTTCTTTTAATTCCTGATGGCCGCCCACTGAGGGCACAGCAGGATCCTGAGGGATCCTAAACCTGACTTTTCTGACCTTTTCAAAAATGGGTGATGCTGTTCCTGCTGGTAGCCGTGTTTGCAAAGACACCCGTAAATACTCGAGTGGCACCCAGCTGTAACATAGCTGGAAAGCTGTGAAAGTGCCTGAAGAGAAAGGAACTTCCCGGAAAGTTGCCATCCAAAATACTAGAGAGTGACTTAATGTTCGTTTTAGGCTGGCTATACCAGCCTGAGTGGTGAGGCACGTTTCCCATGATAAGAACATTTTTTCTTTGGTGTTCTCTTTTTACCAGTTTTTTCAGAAGTGCTTTTCTGAATTTTTGTCTGGGTTTTTTTTCCCCCCAAAATTCCATCAAGAGGAACTCCAGTTTAAAGCATTTCTTAACCTTGCATGGACTTGCTCACTAAGCTTATCTTGTTTGTTGGGCGATTGCAAGCAAGCAAGTTAGCAAAGTTTCTTGAGTTAATACATGTCTCCCTTGAGCTGTTACCTCCCTCCTTAGCTAAATGTTGACAATAAAACTGAGACAATTGCAAGCATTTGAGTTAGTGATGTAAGGATTTCATTTACTTACGAGTAATCTGGAGCTAGCTAAGAGGTGGTTCAGTAAATTAGAACTCTCGCTGGGATAGCAGGAGCATTTTATTATATTGGGGTTGCCCACAGGCTTTTCTTGAAGGGCTTCCATCTGTGAGAAAGGCTCAGGTTGCTTGTGTACCACTTCTCTCCCAGAGAGCTGGGAAGGGAGGAAAAGGAAGAAAATGGGAGTGTGAGTTGTTGACAGAGGAGGGTGGGTCATCAGAATATATTTGACTGAACCCTTGCTCCTGCAAGAAGATAAAAAACCAAAACAACTGAAGATCAAATAAATGAGGGTGGGAAAATACATGTTTCCTGTGCCTGTCTGCTTTCCCCTGTCGTGACTTTGTATCTCTGTCCTTTTCTCCTGTGTGGTGCTGGTGCAGCACATCAGGAAAACCTGACGCACTTCTGGACTGGCTGGTGCCATCACTGAGATGTGGCAGCTCTTAGAAAAACATTCTTATCTCTTGCTCATCTTTGAAGACATATCAGCAGTCATTGCTGTGGCTTGTTAACATCTAATTCTCTTGCTAGCAAGATTAAATAAAAACTGCTAGCATCTCTGAAGTTTCACACCCAAGCCAACCTTTGTCATTTGTGGCCAGGAAGGCAAGTACTGGTTTTCTTAGAATACTACAGGGAAATTTTGCTTTCTTCATCTAGTGCAAGTCAGGCTTGGTAATATGAAAACCTTACAGAATCATAGAATTAGATTGGAAAAGACCTTTAAGATCATCAAATCCAACTGTTAACCTAACCCTGCCATCCCACCACCAAACCATGTCCCTAAGCACCTTGTCTACCTGGCTTTTAAATACCTCCAGGGATGGGGACTCAACCACTTCTCTGGGTAGCCCGTTCCAATGCTTGACAACCCTTTTGGTGAAGACATTTTTCCTAATGTCTAACCTAAACCTCCCCTGGTGCAACTTGAGGCCATTTCCCCTTGTCCTATTGCCCATTACCTGGGAGAAGAGACCGACCCCCACCTCACTACCCCCTCCTGTCAGGCAGTTGTAGAGGGCGATTGGGTCACCCCTCAGCCTCCTCTTCTCCAGGCTAAACCACCCCAGTTCCCTCAGCTGCTCCTCATCAGACTTGTGCTCCAGACCCCTCACCAGCTTTGTTGCTCTTCTCTGGACACGCTCCAGTGCCTCAATGTCCTTCTTGTAGTGAGGGGCCCAAACGGTACGATCACTTCCCTACTCCTGCTGGCCACACTATTCGTGATACAAGCCAGGATGCCGTTGGCCTTCTTGGCCACCTGGGCATGCTGCTGGGTCATATTCCATCTGCTGTCAACCAGCACCCCCAGGTCCTTTTCTGTCAAGCAGCTTTCAGCTTTCCAGCCACTCTTCCCGAAGCCTGTAGCATTGCATGGGGTTGTTGTGACCCAAGTGCAGGACCCGGCACTTGGTCTTGTTAAACCTCAAACAGTTGGCCTTGGCCCATCAATCCAGCCTGTCCAGATCCCTCTTCAGAGCCCTACTCCCCTTGAGCAGATCAACACTCGTGCCCAATTTGATGTTATCTGCAAGCTTATTGAGGGTGCACGCTATCCCCTCATCCAGATCATTATCATGAAGTTATTAAACTGAACTGGACAGGGAGCTAAAAAAAAAATCCTCTATGGGCTCTTTATAATGCGGAACAGGAGATAGTCTCTCACCTTTCCCATGTTCTAAGCTAAGTCTGGCTAAGTTTTTGTTAAATGTACAGGCTGAGATTCTGTTAAGTTGCCTCTTTCAGGGTCTACTGTCAAACCCTAAAAACTGAGTTGCCATTTCGTTTAGAAGTTGTTAACGTTATTTTTTAAAATAGGGCATTTTAAAAATTCAGACTGTGCTATAACCTACTCATCTGTAATACGTTGTCAGATAAAAAGGTGGTGGTTGCTTTTTCAGATTCTCTGTATTCCACTTTCCCCATCTCCGCCTCCCGGTCACGCAGTTAGATAAGGGCACTTTCATAAGTGAGGCTGCAAAGGAGCTGTATGTGACAGGGAAGGGTGGGTGACATGAGCTATAGAGATGTGCTTTTATTGAAAGCTTTGAAGTGGGCCAGGTAATTTTTGTGTCTGTCCTTAACAGACCTAATCCTCCCCTTGCCTAGAAGGGGTCTGACCTGCTATGGGTGGGGAGGAGGAGAAAGGGTGAACTCATCTGTAAAGAGTGAAACATCCTGTGAGAGAGTAGCAGTGCTACATCGATAGATCCTAAGATATAACTGCTGAGATCTTGATGAAGGGCAAGAGTCTTCAGGTCCATGGTGCTTTCCTGCACCCCCTTGTTAGGCTTCTGCTGTGATGTAGTGATGAGTAGTGATGCCAGCTTTATGATTTTTGGAGAGGGTCTTTTAATTTCCTATAATTGACTGGTGGATTTTTACAACAGGGTTTGTTGTAGACTATTGTCTCTGTGTGTGTAGGTTGTTTATAACCCCTTCTTAGCAACTGACCATAAACTTCACCTCAATCCCTTGGTTTAGCCTGATCCTTAAAGTCATGTTTTAAAAGTTTTTTTTCATGGCAGAGGAAGCAGTTCTTATGCTCCAACCACGAGTGTGGGAAGCTCCATGTAGCCAAGGACTTCCAGCCAGCCTCGTTGCCTATAAACAGGGCTGTAGGGTAACTGTATTTTTGAATTCCTGATGACAGCAAATTAAACACAGTTGCAAGTCCTGGTTGGTGTGAAGCTGGTGTTGAGCTGTGGCAGCCTGCGGTAACAGGAGAGAACCAGAACTGGTTGATTGTTGGTATTCGGTGAATGTGCCTGAGGCTAAGGTGTGGATGATGAGTCGTGGGAAGGCTGCTGTCACTTCTTGTCCATGTCTGGAGGAAATGGCAAATGCTGGCTCAGGTGCAGCCAGGGAATGTCTGAGACGTGCTGGCAGGCGCTGCCTGGCAGCAGAGCTCCAGCCTCCGCTTCACAGGCAACTGAAGTACCTTCAGAGCTGAGGTGTCCGAGCTCCCTGGAGGTGGGCAGGGACCCTGGCACAGGGCACACTCTGCTCCAAAGGAAAAAGGGTGCTCGCTCTCTGTGCAAAAGCAGGGGAGAGGGATACTGGTGATGCAAAGCAGAGGCTGCCTCTGTAGCCACAAGAGGGCTGTCCAGTCTTTGGGTTGCGCTTCTTGTTTGCTGTTAGCAAGCGCATATGCATCTGATGCAATGTTGTCTTAAGCTCCAATGTACCTGAAGGAATCGTGCATGGATCCTGTAAACCTGTCAGCGGGAAATCTGCAAGGCTGTCCTTGCCAGGAGCTGTGTGATTATCAGGATGTGGTTTGACCTACTGTAGGTGTAGTTGTCAAATGGCATACAGTGGTCTTTTGAGCAGTCTCATCAAGGTGATGTGGCCAAATAGATTTAGTTATTACTACTACACAATAATCTCTTTTTCAGCTGCTTGCCAGTTCTGTTCAGTCACAAGCTCACGGCTCACACTGGTGTTGTCCTGTTCCTGGGCTGAGCGGCCTTTGCAATTCTTCCCCCCTCTCCTTTCCCCTCGGTGTAACAAGAACAATCAGCTGTTTAACAGTGGTCCAAGACAAAGCTTGCTAAAGCTGATGGGGAACTGTAAAGGCAGATGTAATGAGTCAGACTGCTTGATCCTGCTGGTTAGCATCTGACCTGATCCAGGAGTTGGTGGGAGGAGAATCCCCCTCTGAGCAAGCTCCTGTCATCTTCCTGATGGAACAAATGGCTTGTTTCTTCCTTGTGGCTTTCCTTGGAGGCTGTGCTCATTTGTCTCCTTCTGCCATGGGTTTTTGTGTTGTGTGTGGACAGAATTTCTACTTAAGTAATAGGTCATGAGTGAATCAAGCTGGCAGGGGTCTGACAAAGGAAGGGAAGGGCTGCCCTGAGAATTCCTTCCTCTGGGCCATGGCTGTTGATTTTGGGTTAAAGGCTTAGCCAGGGGCCAAATCTTAAGGGTTTTCCTGTATGGACAATTTCATCCTGGCTGTAGATCAGGAACACCTATCAAGTGGTGTGGTTTTTTTTTTCTTTTCAATTTGTAGAAGGTGCTGGATCTCTGCCATGGCCAGGTGGCTCTGCAACTAAACCTGGAAAACTCAAAGGGAAGAAAAAGATTTCTTCGGTTCGACAAAAGTTTGATGTAAGTGTCCATGCTGAAATGGTTGTGGCTCTCTGACATTCTGTTGGGGGTGAAGAGCTCTGCACAGCGTGCAGTTTTTGTTACTACCTGGGATGTTGAAAGTCCATCATGTGCAATGATGTATATTTGGTTTGCGTTCTGGTTTGGGGCAGGAGCTGGGGGTTAGTGGCTGTGGCCTCTCTTGTGGAAGCCTCTTGGGAGAAAGGCTACTGTGTGACCTGGTTAGACACCAGAGAATCCATGGAAGTACACCTAAATGTCAAAGCTGTAAAAGCTTGTATTCCAGGAACAAACTACACTTCACGCATCTGACTAATTCTTGAAGCAAAAGTGATTTCCTATTTATTCAGGCAGTCAGAATTCTGTGACTGTATGATTCATTTGGCAGAACTCTACAATCCAAAGCGTTTAGAAGTAAGGTGTTCCTTGGGTCGAATGTGTTTAGAGGGTAAAGTTGTTTCAGAATTGGAAGTGATTTGCAAAGATGCTGTCTTCTGGTATGCAACAAAGAAGCAGGCAAGATCTCGTTAATTTTGCAGCTCTGTGCATCCGTCTGGTACTGTCACATGTCTGCTCTACAGTTGTTTCTGAGCTGCTGGTGTGAAAGAGGATCGGCATGGGGCACTGTCTTCCACAGGCGGGGTTAGATAAGACTGTTCAAACTCAATTAACAGTTTGTTGAAAGGGAGAGTGTCTGTCTCTTACTGAGCCAGATTTATCAGCACATCGTGATCTGGCTCAGTTCCCTCACAAGGCAAAAAACTAACCAAGCAAAAAAGACCCCAAACCTCAAGTTTTTCTTGCTGGTTTATTCAGCTGGATCAGTGTTCCTTGCGGTTGGAGGAATGCCAAAGCCAGCGCAATGGAAGAAGAGGCAGCCATATGGCTGGGGATAGGGGAGAAAGGTGGGCATGTGAAACCTCCCACTCCTACACTGTGAGAAGTTAAGTTGGCTCAGCTAAAGTGCCTACCGCACTTCCAGGGATTATAATCAGGCATCGTATGTGCATGCTTCAGAGGCCTGTGTTTCAAAGAGATGCAAGTCCAGCTGAAGGCTCGTTGTATTTAGAAACTCGTGAAATGTTTTGCAATGTTTGCAGCTGTGACCTGAATTCTGATGGCAGTCTGTATTACCTTTTTGTTTAAAACTTGACCGTAACTTTTCAGTAGCAAGTAGAGGGGAGTTTGAGAAGCAAGTTGTGATGTAGCAGAACTCTTGGAATTTGTTTTCCTCGGATACCCCTTTGTTACACAACATTTCTTGTGTGTGTTTATACACATGTTCCTGGAATGTTTGATAGTAAGTACTGTATGAAGTGTATATTACGATTAACAGGCTTGTCTGTTGCTAGTGGCATTCCCAAGTAGTGTGAACTTGAAGTGCCTTGGTTTTTCCTGATGTTTACCTCCCCAGTCAGAGTAGCAGCTGTGAATCACCACAGGTTCATTCCAGTTGGCTTCTGCTCTCCCAAACTGGATTCCTCTTAAGAGTTGCTTACATTTTGAAGGTCTTTTTTTCTTCCAGGCATACAGGCATGTAGCTTTCCTGTAATGAAAGCATAAGCCTTCAGAATTACGGGGAGGGAAACCTGCTTTCACATCATTAGTGGGTGGATTGGTTTTTCACTCTGAGTTAAATGCCACACTGTCCTTTGAATAAAGCGGCCCCCCTTCCTTTCCTGAAACTAAGATGTGAGAAATCTACTTTGCTGTATATTCATTGTTTATATTTAAAGTATGTTTTTGTCTTGATGCTCCATAAGAGCCTTGTGGCAATCTTTATTCCAGAGCCACCAGATTTGTAGCTTGGAGAGCTGAGGGAACAGGAGTTGTGGGAGTACTTGATGAGCCAGGGCCCTGTTGTTCCCTTGTGGGTTGGGGCTGGGTCAGGCACACGTCTGGGCCCCGGGGATCAGTCACTCCCATCTGTTCTTTCCCACACTTATCTGGGGACTGAGACTTCCTGGGAGCAAGCACAAGCACTCACAGTTTGAGACACCAGCACATCAAAGAAATTGTGCTGGAATACAGGTGGCCTGGGAAATGGGGGTTGCCACCTTCTAGTATGAATTCCTGTTCTGTGGTGGGTTTTTCTTTTAAATAACTGACTCAGTTCTGAAAAAATAGCCGTAATCCATCTTGGAATCGGTGGCTGCTCAGTAACGCAGCTCTGCTTAGAGTATTGAAAGTTCATGGGGAGACTAGAGTATGAAATTCAGAACTGGAATTTGGCTGAGCTGTTGCATTTAAAGCTTTAAAGAAATGTAAGAATCATTTAAGAATCACATAAGCTTAGGATCATGGTTTTTAATCTTGGTGGAAACTGTACAGTTAGCAAGTAAAAATACACCCTTCTGTACAAGAAATGACTAAATAGAGGAGAACTTTTCAGCATAGGAGGAGGTGAGTGAGAGATGTGAAAGTCCATAAAATCATCACTGGCCTGGATAGCATGAACAGAGATCAAAAGGGACAATGACTGACCACATTTGAGACTTACAGGAGAATCAAATCAATCCAGCAGGTGGGAGGTACAGAGCAAACCAGAGGAGGTGACTCCTCATGTGGTGTGTTGTTACGCTGTAGAATTTCTTGCTGCAGGATGTTGTGGATACCCAAAGTTTAGGTGGTTCAGGGTGCTGCTGGACAAGTTCATGGGCTGTTTAATAAGGGACACCAACACTGGCTCAGGAATTTCTTCAGTCACAAACTTGGGGGGGTTTGTAGACTATCTTGGGGAGGAATATCAGTCTGCTTGTCCCACTGTGATACAGTTTTATAGGTGTTTGCTTTCTAACTGGAAAACCAAAGTGTCTGACCAGGTATTTATCTTCTTATGCTCTAATGTTGTGTTCCTAACAGCATCGGTTCCAGCCTCAGAATCCGTTGTCTGGAGCCCAGCAATTTGTGGCAAAGGATCCTCAGGAGGATGACGATTTGAAGCTGTGTTCTCATACCATGATGCTTCCTACACGTGGCCAGTTAGAAGGAAGGATGATCGTAACCGCCTATGAGCACGGGCTAGACAATGTCACAGAGGAGGCAGTGACTGCAGTTGTTTATGCTGTGGAGGTGAGACCGGGCTGGGCGGCAGTGGTGCTCGTGTTACACCAGCAACAAAAGGCTCTGTGTGTGGCACGGAGTGGCGTCCCTCAGTGGGGAGAGGAAACCTGCTTCTCTAATGGCCCGTTTGCTTCAGGAAGAGTAAGATGAGAATCAAAGGGCTTCCAGACTTGTGGCATCATAGATGTAAAGTCTTGCATTTCTGCCTGCAAGCATTAATTTTGAAGTACTTGCATATGAAGAACTCCAGGCATGCTTAAGCAGCTGTTTCGGAAAATGCTGTTCCTGTTGCCTAAAAGAAGGGACAGAATGGAAGCTCCAGTTTAAACAGTTCTATAAAAAATAATCCTTTATAGGCGCAAGTATCTGGCATGGAAGTGAAGTGACAGAATTGGGTAATACCTGCAGGTGAAGTGCCTGCTGTTGCCGGTTTTGGCCATCAGTGGTGCATTACCTGACATATCCCAAGAATGATACAGCCATTACTTGGAGTGTTGATGTGTGGAGGGTTTTCTGGAGTCAGGATGCAGAGGCCAACCTGAATTTCCCATCTGGAATTGAGGCCAAATCAAGAAGCAGTTTTCTGCTGGCTTTTTTTTTGTTTGCTTGTTTGTTTGTTTTTTTAGGCAGTTGCTTCTCCAGCACTTTCCAGGCAACTGAACAGTGAAAAATAGGAGTGGAGTGACTTTTCTCTGTGGTTTTAGGGCCAGTATTTCAGTACAAGTGTAACATCTAGTGCCAAGTATGAAACCTCTTAATGCTTTATCAAAGAGATCAGGGGTTGGGAATTTCCTAGCATTTAAGAAACCTCTTTGGCATCTGAAGCAGCACATCGCATATTAAAGTACAGGCCACAAGGCTAACGCATACAGTATGCTCACACTGTGCCATGTTCTCTGTATCCAACTGTATCAGAGAGTGAAAACATATTGTAACTTGTCCAGATCTTGCTTCCCTTATGTCTTTAGGTCCTTGTGGTCATAGCAGCACTACTTCTGTCTTGCCAATTGGTGAGGCACTTCTCACGCTGTGGCTTGGTAGAGCGAATAAATCGGCATGTGGCATAAGATTATTTTTCATCGCAGAACCATCTTAAGGATATTCTGACGTCTGTGATATCCAGGCGGAAAGCCTATCGTTTGAGAGATGGCCATTTCAAGTACGCCTTCGGAAGCAATGTTAACCCTCAGCCATATCTGAAGAACAGTGTTGTTGCTTATAACAATTTAATTGAGTGGTAAGGAGCTCTCAGCACACTGCTAATTTCAAATGCAATTTGCTAGTCCTGAAGTTACTCCATGGTTTGGTTTTTCTGTTTGCTTAGTAGAACCTGTTAATGATGGTGTTTAGCTTTTCACACAAAGTTGCGTGTACGGAGGAATGTACAGCTAAACAAGGAGGGAGAATATGGGGATTTCCCAGCAGTGGAGTTTAGGACAGCATTAACTCTCTCTTCCTTGCCTGTGCTTGTACATCAACTCATGAAGGTGACCCCTGGCCCTCTGAATGTCCTTAGTAATTACTGCTTTTTTGAAGCTGTAGTGAGGGACATGGGGATTTTGCTGCTCTCAGGGAAACTGCCCCTGGGCAGAAGAGCCCTGCCTTTGTGGAGGCACCGCTGTTGTGCCACAGGAATGAAATGTCAGTGAGGACCTGTGGGACGCTGCCATTCTCTCATTTCCTCCATCCAAATGTATTTGTGGTTCCTTGGCAGGCCTTTCCAGTTAGTGGAGCTCCAATGTCGTCTTGTTTCCAGAGTCTCAATGTCAAACAGCTTGTGCTGCACATCTGGCAGCGTGTGTGTGGGAGAAGGCAGTTGTGTTTGTCTATGACAGCTTCTAGTAGTTGGCAGGAGGTCGTGGGTATTTTCAGATTTAATTATAGCACTACAAACATTACAAACACAATCCACTCCAAACTATTCTGCCAACAGCTAGCATCTTTCAATTTAACATTGTGGGTGCCCTAATTTTTATGCTGGGTAGAAACTATTGGCTATAAATAACAAGTTGCCAGCCGAGATCAGTTACAAAGCAGGCTTGAAGCATGCTGAGGATTGGTTTGCACTATTTTTATTAAACTGGAATTTTGAAGAGATTAATTACAGCTGAAATCATCTTATGTACGTAAAGGCTAAGTCAACTGGTACAGAAAAGCAAACCATGGGGCCAAGACCTTCCTGTGTGACTTCCAGGGGCGGTGCTGTTTTCCTGACTGGAATGTTTTACTGCTTGCTCTGTCTACAGCCCTCCGACCTGCGTGACACCTTCTGCTGGTCAGAGTCTAGCTCCCCAGCCCCCGCCTGATGATGCCGAGCAGCAGGCAGCTCTGCTCCTAGCATGCTCTGGAGACACCTTACCAGCATCCCTCCCACCAGTGAACATGTATGACCTTTTTGAGGCCTTACAGGTAAGCTGTTCATGTCATGCTGATGTGTCACAACACAGCTACCAGTCTCTGTTTTGGTTTACATGCATGGAGGGGGATTTGATTTCTCCTCCTACAGTCTGTGTCCTTTTTTCCCTCTCAAATTTACAATTCTTTGGCTTTGACTTGTTCCCACTGTTAGGTTAACATACAGTTAGCTCATGGCTTAATGCGTGTTCTGTTCCCCTTGGTCAGACAGCTAATGAGGAAATCCCTGTCTCTCGTTATAGCTATGTAGGAAGGGTGAACTCTTCCTCTGCAGCAAGACTGCAGTGATTATAATAGAACTGAGCTAGACTGAGATTTTGACAGTGATGCAGCAGAATGACTTGCCTGGCATGTCCCTTCTTACTCCTCATGTTCCACCCAGGGTTTTTAGAGGAATACTTAGTCCTGGCTTGTGGGCTGCTGCAGTGGGTTAGTTATGATTCCTTCAACCCTGGGGAGGTGTCTAAGGTGGGCTGGATGAATCTTCCTGTGGATATGCTTGCCTGTGGTTCCCTCCCTCTCTGGCAGCTTGGGAGACGTTCAGACTACTTTGAATGTCTAAAATTAGCTGTGAGAAATTCCCCCTTGATCTCCACTACTGTGAACAGGCCTTGGGATTTTTGTCTCAAGGCTGCGGAGGCAGACCGTTCTTTGTAAGAGCTGTAATCAAGCATTCTTCTCGTGTTTAGTCAGACAGAATTGTTGTTTGTAAGATTTTTGATGACAAATTGTTGTTTGTCATCGCAAGAGCAAAATGACTATTTCCTTACCCTGCCACTCCCTTACAAAATGGTGTAACAGGCGGTTGTTCTGTGCTGGCTGGTGTGGCAGTGATGGCAAGTTGCAGCTCTCCTCACCTGTGGCAGCCTGCATTCCT